TTTAATTATCAATTTATAATTCATTTTCAGGTTTTATTTTCAATAATTTGTTTACAATAAATATCATTTTAAGGTAAAAAGATTGACGAGTACACCATTTTATAAAAATTCAAAATAAATTTATCAAAATTCAGCTCATATTTTGCTAATTCATGAAAAAGTATCAAACAAAAAGTACTCTGAGCATACTGATATTACTAATCACTGTTATAATTGATTGATATCAATCATGCAATTATTTTTGATCCGATAACTCATTTCTTCTCAAACACTATGATTTAATGAAGTACAAAAATTATAACTATTACAAATTATATCCTGTAATTTTGAAAAAAAATAAATTTGATTCATATACCTAGCAACAATTCACAAGATTTTTTTCTGAAGCTGAATTTACAAGCAAAAAATGATTCTTTCATATTTGTGTAACTCATATATATATATATATAAGTTTAACTCATATATACTTGTAGAGAAATAGAAGATATCTGTTATCGAAATTTACGAACTTTACGTGAAGGATGGCCATGGGAGATGCGTTACTGTAATGTCCGACAATATTCAAATATAAATCTTCGTAAAAATGTTTACTGTGAATAATTACAACCAATTCGTTTTTTGCTTTTCATCCTTTAGCTATCACTTTGTTATTATGTCATACTAAGTAATTCCGTGTTGAAAAACAGATTTGCATTTATTCATGTTAAAATTAAGATGCTCCATGTATTGATCTGTTGATCTGATCGTTTCATATTAAGATCAAAACAAACAAAACTCAACTAATAACAACTGAATATACAAATAATGAGTTTATATTTGAGATCAAAATTCAAAAAATAATTTTGTAAGTATGAAATTGCGTACATAATAACATCAGTTACAACATCTCAAAGCATTGAAGTTCTCATTTGTTCTTATAGCAATCATAATAGAGTTAGTAAAATCTCATGCAACCTTAACTGATAATATGATCTAATCGTTTCATATTAAGATCAAAACAAACAAAACTCAACTAATAACAACTGAATATACAAATAATGAGTTTATATTTGAGATCAAAATTCAAAAAATAATTTTGTAAGTATGAAATTGCGTACATAATAACATCAGTTACAACATCTCAAAGTATTGAAGTTCTCACTTGTTCTTATAGAGTTAGTAAAATCTCATGCAACCTTAATATAAAACAAAAAGAATAGATACTATTAACATTTGAGAATTGGGAGATACGGTAATTTCAGCATTGATTACCATATTCCCCAATTCTCAAAATAAAATAAATTTATAGTTGCAGTAATTTTCTCTCATACAAGCAGAAAATTCATCAACTACTTGTCCAGTTACCATAATCTGGTCTCAGTTATGATTTATATCCTCATGTTACCAATATCAGAAAGTAGATATATTGAATTTCATAATGTTTTGCATACAGTGAGAATGCGACGAATAATTAAGAGGGCTCGGTGAATTTCGTGGTGTTGTGGTGTAATGGATAGGGCGTGGTACGGGGTTGGCTCTAATGAAGTTGATTTATCTGATAGGATAAAAGGAGAGATTAGTTGAAAAGTATTAAAATTATAAGGTGGTTGGATTGCAAGTTGAGAGATAATTAGTTGGAATGATAAACTGTGCAAGAAATAGTAAATGATAAGAGCGAAATGCTGACTAATGTAAGTTAGAAAAAATTTGGGATCTAGCAAGTTGGGTAAGAGATTAGATAAAATAAAGGGTTAGTGGTCAGTAGTTCAAGAGGTAAAGTAAATACGAGGTAGTGAAGGAAATGGTCAAGGTAGGAAGTGGTCAAGCATGGAATTCAAATAAGGAATAGGACTATTTGACGAGTTATTATTAGAGATAATGTCTGGAATAAAAGTGGGAAAATAATAATCGTTTGAAAAATACAATAATTTAAAGACAATTACAAAGTATACATTAAATTTTGAAAAAAGTAATCAGTTATTCGGTAATGTTTTCTCTCTGTACAATGCTTAGATTATATATTTTAAAGAAACTTTCAGGCGTTCCTTTTAAATTACGGGTTTAATGGCATTAAAAGTGGTTAAATTTCATCAACGATGGAAATTTGTCGTAAACGGAAATATTGATCATGTACCATCGCTTCTACAAACACGTCTTCTGCAACGTTCTCATAGTTCTGCAGTTCCACGCAAAATTCCATCTAATGTTCGTTTTATTTTCCTTTTCATATGTGTCAACTTATTAAATTTGTTGTGACATGTTAATTTCTAAAAAAGCTATTCAATTGTTTTTGATTACACTATAGAAAGATTTCTCGTTTATTCTTCATGTTTTAGTCAGTAAATTGTGGTGGAAAAATGGCTAAAAAAAAGTTAGCATCATTTTCTGATCGAAAAGTAATATCGGAATCACTGAGCAGTGATAAGCAACAGACCATTTTAAAGCAGCCAAAGCATCAACTAACAGAGCAAAGGTTCTCAAACAAGATCATTTCGCCGACAGTAACACCTAAAACAAGGTCAACTTCATTCATTTCTGTACCTATGGGACGGCGAACGAAATCACGAAGTTTCATGGATATTGTACCACCTGCTCCAATTGCTATTCCAAATTTACCTTCGAACAGCACGGTACTTTTAGTTTTTGTTTGGCAAAATTTATATTGATTCAGTGGATAAATTTATACTGATCTCCGCAGCATCTTCAATAAGGTTCTTAAATGTTCTTCAGTCTCGTTATTTTTTTCTGTAATTGAACTGTGGTTACAAGAGGCATTATTTTTGAAGTATGTTGTGCAATATTTATTTTAGGATTTCATTGTTAATTTGAAGAAAGATGATATTTCACGTATTTTGGAGAATTTTGCAAGAAGACCCTTAGTTCGAGAATTATCAGAGCAGAATAACGTTAATAGAAAAATGTTTCATGCTGCGTATAAGTATGTTTGCGTTTGCTTATCTCTTCGAAAGTTATGGTAGGATTTTGTTGAAATCTTGAACTTTGCTTATTACATGCTAAGCGTGGATTTTGTGTTGAAGTTTTTCAGAAGTTTTCGAAATTACTGCTTAAATGCATCACCGCTAGATCCATGTATTGCTGTTACTATAAGTGATGTTTTAAATAAAGGTAAGTGATAATTTCAGTTTTGCCGCTATATTATCTATATCTGATAAAGATTATTTTTTAGTATATAAGGTTATCTAAAGATTGTACTTTCAGCGCGGGATGTCGATAGTTTGTATCCTTATTTCATCGAGCATGCTAAGCGAGTTTATCCACATTTGGAGTGTGAGAAAGAATTGAAAACATTAAGTGATTTAAGTAAACCACATAATTGGTATCCAAAAGCTAGAGAGGTTTTCAGAAGGATACATTTTCATGCAGGTATCAGATTAATTTGGTTTTTTGCCCAATTTTTATGTGTAGAGTTTTGAGATTAAAAAAATACTTGAAATAATTTCCAGTCTTCATCAATTTTATTGAAAAAATTTCATCACAAACTAGATTTAACCTCGTATGTGCTGGATAATGGATTATTACTACGAGTGATTATTTCATGAGTGTGTCTAATATGAAAATTTATAGTTAACAGGGGGAATTGATTACTTCTGATTCTAGTGCCTATTTTATCATGAATTTAGAAGTACTGAATTTATAGGGCCAACTAATAGTGGGAAAACTTATGAAGCTCTACAACGTTTCTATCAAGCCAGAACCGGTTTTTATTGTGGTCCTTTACGATTACTCGCAAGCGAAGTATGCCAGAAGACTAATGAACGAGGTTGGCAAATGTTAATGAGGTTATTTCGCTATGGTAAAATGGAAGATAGTTTTGTTTTAATAGTTCATTTCTTTATGATATTTACATTTAAAATAAAAAATTAACTGGAAGGTTTTTTAAGGCATCAACTGCGATATGGTAACAGGTGAGGAGCGGAGATATGCAGTTGATGCCGATAACCCCTCATCACATGTTGCTATGACCGTTGAAATGGTACCTGTTGATGTTAGTGTTGACATTGCTGTAATTGATGAGATACAAATGTTACGAGATCAGAGTCGTGGATGGGCATGGACAAGAGCTCTTCTTGGTATTGCTGCGGAAGAGGTTTGTATCATATTATGATGCTTAGGTGGATTCTCTAAAGACTTGCACATCATTATTAGTTTTTGTCTCCTATTTAAATATTGAGTAAAACTTTCATTTATAGCTGATTGTTACCAAAGTTCTTATCTGCTTTAAGTATCATTGCTGAAACTTTGATGTTCACTGCTAATTAACGGCTATTCATTGTTTGAAAAGGCTCTGATTATAATTAATTTAAAACAAGTACGAAATTTTCCTAGATCCATCTTTGCGGTGAAGAAGCTGCTATCGATATTGTTCGTAACTTACTGGATCCTATTGGTGAACATGTTGAAGTGCATAAATATGAGAGAAAAACGCCTCTTTTTTTGAGTGAACAAGCTTTAAAAAAGCTTGATAATATACAGGTTAGGTGGTATGATGCGAAATTAAATAATTAGTCAGCTATTTCTGGGAAGTGTGGCATAATTTGATTAGTTATGGCTACAGATTTCATTGTAATATATTTGTGATTTCAGTTGTATGATTCATTTTTCTACCACTCTACTGCTTAAATAATAGTTTTTCAGGATGGTGACTGCCTGGTGTGTTTTTCAGTTTCAATGTTGTTTTCAATAACCAGAAGGCTGATGAAATTAGGTATTCAGCCGACTGTAATATATGGTGCATTACCGCCATGGACAAAACTTAATCAAGCAAAAATATTCAATGAAATGACTCGAAAGCCCAATGTAATGGTTGCAACTGATGCAGTTGGAATGGGTCTTAACTTGAATGTTCGCAGGTTTGTATTTCTTTACATTGCTGTGTTTTATCGTTAATAATTCTATTATTTGTCAGTCTTTCATCGCACTGTGCTGATGTGGGAAGATCATTTCAACATATATTTCGTAATTTTTTGGAAATGTCGATGATTATTGACGTTATCCTGTTGGAATACAGATCTAATTTGGCAAAATTTTAGAATCATCTTTGTACAATTTCCATTTGGTGAACATCAAGCAAATTACCATGTTGTGCAAGTTGCGGGACGTGCTGGTCGTTTTCAGTCTGCATATCCAGAAGGATATGTTAGTTCTTGCTCTCGATATTTGTGTATTGACTTGAAATTAAAATTTTTAGGATTATGTAGAACTCTTTTCAAAAATGCTTGAAGATATAACAACGATTATTAAATTTTAAAGGTATCCACATTGCGACAATCAGATATGCCTATGCTAAAAAATTTTATGGAAGAACCTATCAAATCTATCGAAACTGCTGGTATTGCACCAACTTCTGAACAGGTATTTTCCAGTGCTTTTATAAAAGTACATTGTATGTCATCTACACAGGATATTTCAGTTGGAAACCTTCTCATATCATCTCCCTCATGCGTCATTTCTCAGTATCATTGATATGTTTATATCAATCAGCTCTCTTAGCAAAAAGTTTCATTTATGTGACATCGACCAGTTTCGGAAATTAGCAGAGCTTATTGATGAAATACCGCTAAGTATGAAGGTATTAAATATTTTCAAGCTTAAAATTGTTGCTCCTAATTTTTTTTGAATAAAAACGAAGCATAGTATTAAAAATCAAATTGATTTTTATTTTTTGTAGAAATTGTAGGTTAGATATGCTTTTTGCACTGCTCCAGTGGATATGGATATGGATAATAGTGTTGCTCGAACATGTTTCGTACGTATAGCCCGAAGGTAAGTCCCAAATTTGAAGAATTTTCGCATGATTTTCAGATTTTTGTGGCAAAATTAAGTCGAGTTTCTTTTTCTCTTTTTTTGGTATGAAACATTTATAAACTTGAGGTTTGCGGAAGGCCAGGGAATAAATTATAATTGGTTCTGTGAGATCATTCAGTGGCCTTTACCTAAACCAACTAATATTACAATGCTTTTGGATATGTGTAAGCTATATAACTTAATTGATCTCTATCTTTGGCTCAGTTACAAATTTCCGGTAAGCCTTTTAATAAAAATTTACCATTCTTTTCATGCATTTTTTAGATTGATAATGCAATACTGTGTGAATTAAAATATTGGAGATTTCTGAGTTGAACTTTTTCCTTCTCGTCCTATTATTTATCTATGTTTTGTTAAAATAAATATTTCAGTTCTTCAAGATCCGAAAATGTATTTTAGTCATTAGAACCAAAGAACACTTCGACAGCAATAAATTTGATCTTTCATTACCTTTCATTTAATGTGAACGTTACCCTGGGAACAAAATTCACTATTGAGTTGTATTGCCTAATTATAGTTAGGGTTTACCAGTAAAGTTGATTAATGCTAAATTTATCTAGGATATGTTTCCGGATAGAGAGAAAGTACGCCATCTTGGAAAACTTATCGAAAGTTACATTAATGAGGCACTGGCTACTATATCTAATCTAACATCTGAAACGAATGATGTAAGTCAGCGTATTTATACATGTATATATAAATGCATCATGTTTAACAGCTTTTATAGTTTCAAACTACTCCATTGTGATATATATTTTCATTTCTGTTTTAATTTTTCGATTTTAGAAAGAACAGGATTGCTTGGATGAGGTATTTAATCAAGGTAATTATTTTTTAGATAAATATAAGTGTTGTTATTTATCTACATATATGATAATAGAAACAGAATGTTAGCTTAAAAATAAGGGTCGTTTTTAAGATAGAAATTTGAAGGATGTCATCAATGAATGCTTCTATTGATTAGTCGTCTTTCGATTTGATACTTCTTTACAAATAAATTATGTATCAAATAACGAAGTTTAAAGATCAGAAATGCAAGTTCCAAAAATTCAGATAGCGTTTTTATTGTTGCAGAAAAGGAAACTGTTTCACAGAGATTGCTACGGGAAGGGCTTGTAAGCGAAAACGAAATACAGTTATTGAGAGAAGAAATTTTACGGGAAGAAAACACAAAAATAAGGAGTTTTGAGTTCGTTGATGAAAAAAAGTGACTAATTATAATCATGAAAATGTGATCACCATTTTTATGCAGCTAGCTTTATCCGTTGGTTATGGGTAAACTTTTGAATACTTTTTGTTATTAGCGCCTTCTTTTATGTTTAATCTGATCTCGGGATCAACTATTTTAATTGCTGTGATCTTTAATAATTTTAGTGAGAGGAAGTTTGTGATTTAGTTGTTATTTTTCTATGCAATTATTATTGTTATGTTTGCAAAAAATGTTATGAAGCTGCATTTCAATTATTGGATTTGTGATGCTGTTTATTGTTATTCAAATATTTAGTGCGAAACAGGTCTCTCTGTTTTAATCCTTTTTAGTTGTTCATGCTTCACTATGCCGCTGCCGGAAGGTATTGGTTAAAATATGGATTTTTTTATCATGTCTCATTTGAAAGTGTTTCCATAAATTTTAATTGCATATTTTTAAGTTTTATAAGTTTTATTTATGAACTTGAAACGAATAAAATAATTGCAAATGTGTTTGAAGATCTTGCTATTAATATTTTCCGTATCTTTTAGCAATCCAATTATATCTTGTTCAGGACTTCTATTGATTAATCTACAGGAAACAATAGTATTTCTTTTTATGGAGAAGGTTCTGAATTTATTTTAAATAGACTGAGGTAATAGGAAGTGGTGTGAATTCGTGATGTAGGAATAATTAGTGTACATAGGGGATTGTTGGTGCTATTTTGGGGATTCATGGCTACATGTTTGAAAATCTGGTTAGTCTGGTATTATGAAGAAGGTCCTGAATCTATTTTACATAGACTGAGATAATAGGAAGTGGTTGCATTCACAGTGAATGGGGAGACCAATATGAAACCAGGAATTGTTGTACTTAATGTCTTCAGTGCTCATTCATGAAAATGGAGGTGATTTTGTGTCCACAGTGGACGGTTATTAGTGTTTATAGCCCTGAATTACACGAAAAAATTGATGAAGTTACCAGAACTGTTGGTAGACCAACGGGAATAGAAGGTTGGTAGTGCATCTATTACGAAAGTGTCTGGTTGCTAGACATTTTTGACCGTTC